AGACACAAACAGCACCCCCAGACACCCACAGCACCCCCCAGACACACACAGCACCCTCAGACGCAGACAGCACCCTCAGACGCAGACAGCACCCTCAGACGCAGACAGCACCCTCACTACCACACACACATATATATATATATATATATATAAAATAACCCTCAGTGAGTTAACAGACAAAGAAAATTAGAAACCTAGAATGTGACGGCAGATAAAAACACCCTAACACACAGCACCCCTCTTACACAAACACACTGCGCACCTCACACATACAATACGTTCAAATATATATATATACACACACACTACAGCACCCCTCACACTGCACCACTACACACATTACGCTCCAGATACACGCTAGATCCCTTACCCTATATGCACTCTTAATCCTCTACACACACACACACACACACACAATCTTCTATACACACTCTGGGTCCTTTACACACACACACTACATTCCTTGTAAGCAAACACATACAACATTCTCTAAACACACCCTCTCTACAACCCCTACACACGCTACGTCACCTATACACACACACTACTGCCCGTATGTACACACTCGCTACATCCCCTATAACACTATGCCCCTATACACGCACTCTCTACAACCCCTAGCCACATATTACACCACAAAATTGACCTATTTACACAATATCACACCACACTCTACACACACGCAATCCCACAAGCATGCGCCAAACACATGCACCATACACTTTCCTGGCCCTTTTGTCCTCTGGTATCCCACTTGTGGAGACACCAGAGACAATTTAAAAGCTAACACAGCGCAAGCATGTTATTACATTTGCTTGCGCTGCGCAGAACAAATTCAGGGCCTTTTTCTAATGCTAGAGCTCTTCAGCGGGGCTCTGTGCATTGAACCAACATGCTCACTTTGAGAGGGGGCGTGTTGTCATTAGTGATGACAAAACACACCCTCTCTGGCCCCGCCCCCTTCTTGGGGGGCCGCTCTAATTGAAAAATGCCCGGGCCTAATTTTTTTCCCAGTCCGGCCCTGCCGCAGCCTGGAGAGGATTGTCAGGAAAAGGCCATTCAGAAGTGTTGGGGACTTTCACAAGGAGTGGACTGAGGCTGGAGTCAGTGCATCAAGAGCCACCACACAGAGACGGATCCTGGACAGGACAGGATGTCATATTCCTCATGTCAAGACGCTCCTGAACAACAAACAACGTCAGAAGTGTCTTACCTGGGCTAAAGAAAAACAGACCTGGTCTGTTGCTCAGTGGTCCAAAGTCCTCTTTTCTGATGACAGCAACTTTTGCATCTCATTTGGAAACCAAGGACCCAGAGTCTGGAGGAAGAATGGAGAGGCACACACTGCAAGATGTTTGAAGTCCAGTGTGAAGTTTCCACAGTCTGTGTTGATTTGGGGAGCCATGTCATCTGCTGGTGTTGGTCCACTGTGCTTCATTAGGTCCAGGGTTAACGCAGCCATCTACCAGGAGATTTTGGAGCACTTCATGCTTCCTTCCGCAGACAAGCTTTATGGGGATGCTGACATTTTCCAGCAGGACTTGACACCTACCCACACTGCCAAAAGCACCAAAGCCTGGTTCAATGACCGTGGGATTACTGTGCTTGATTGGCCAGCAAACTCGCCTGACCTGAACCCCATAGAGAATCTATGGGGCATTGCCAAGAGAAAGATGAGAGACATGAGACCGAACAATGCAGAAGAGCTGAAGGCTGCTATTGAAGCATCCTGGTTTTCCATAACACCTCAGCAGTGCCACAGGCTGATAGCTTCCATGCCAAGTCGCATTGAGACAGTAATTGCTGCAAAAGGGGCCCAAACCAAGTACTGAGTCCATATGCATGCTTATACTTTTCAGAGGTCCGATATTGTTCTATGTACACTCCTTGTTTTATTGATTGCATGTAATATTCTAATTTACTGAGATTGTGGATTTGGGGTTTTCATTAGCTGTAAGCCATAATCATTGCACTTATGACAAATCACGGCTTGAACTATCTTGCTTTGCATGTAATGCGTCTATCTCATAAATTAGTTTCCCCTTTTATGTTGCATTACTGAAAGAAATGAACTTTTGCACGATATTAAAATTTTTCGAGTATCACCTGTACATGTGTTATGTGTGTTTGTGTTGTCTGTGTCATTTATGTTTATGTGTGTATGTATATCTGTATGTGTAATGAGTCAGTGTTTGTGTATCTGTGTCCTTACGCTATGCATTAGGGCTTCCAGCGTCACTGTAATCCTATGGGGAAATCCTAATGCAAGCGCAGCCATTTCTGCGCATGCGTATTAGGTCTCCCCCGGGTGACGTCGGCAGGGGAGAAGCATAGATGGAGCCGAGCCAGTGCCGAGGGATATCGGCGCTGGACCCAAGTAAGTGAAAGGAGGGGTTAATTTGTTTTCCTGCACTATAGTTTTCCTTCAACTTAACAGCAATACACTGTTGAATCTTAGCAGATCTGGGAATAATTTAAGTTAAGTACAGCTGCCAGAACAGAGAATGAAAAGCTTACATTTGCTCTGAATTATTAGTCGCAAATAAAAGTGTGCTTTGCATTTCAAAACTTATCCGACAACATAAGTAAAATTGATTATATATAAATTAAGTTTATTAAGCTTAAGTGTATTGTTAAGCATTATAAAGAGGCTAAGACCATATCATCTTCTTGTCCAGCCACACCTCCCATGCCTCTTCCCCTTTTCAGTCCCTACATTTGATTTTCATAAGATTTAGGACTTAATTTAAGATCCTGATACTTGCTTACAAATCTCTACAAATGCTGCTCTGACCTACTTATCCTCACTAATACACAAATATGTCCCGTCTATGCCCTTACGCTCTGCCGGAGACCTACATCTAACCTCTGTTTGTACTCCTACCTCTGATGCTCACCTTATAGACTACTCTAGAGCTGCAATGTTCCTATGGAATGCCCTTACCCTCTCTGTAGACTCCTTCAAAAAAATCTTTGAAAACTTACTTCTTTAGGAAAGCATATCAAATTAACTGTGAACAGTTTCCCCACCCCCTCCCTGCACCCTGATTCCTCTCCTGCAACTGTTATCAAAACAAAACACTAAGCCCTCAATGAACACTATCCTAGCAACCTACTTTTCTACCCTACCCTTACCTTTTGTGTCACATTACCCCACTCCCTCTAGCATGTAAGCTCATTGAGCAGGGCCCTCAATCCCTCTGTTCCTGTGTGTCTGGTTACAAATACGTGTCTGGTGGGCCGTGCTCGACTTCCGGCATGAGCGGACGCATGGGGTGAGAGCGCTGTTCCAAGCAGAGCCAGTGCAACACCATTAAACAAGCAGGCAAGCCAGTAAGCTAACGAGTGTCTTTACCCCAAAGGTTCCTGGATACGTTCCAGGGTGAATTATAACCGCTGTGATTGTGACTGTGAAAAGTAAATGGCGCCGTCAAAACAGACAAAAGTGACAGACCCGTCGCGGTATGTAAAAAAAGACCGACAGCGTCAAGCTCAAGATGACGCCGAGGCTGATACAGACGCCGGGGCACAGATTCTATACAAGATAATATAGGTGAAGGGCAGATCTCTAAAGAATTTCTAAAACAAATACTTCAAGATTTAAGGGCAACCATAAGTGAAGATTTTACTAATATTACATCAAGTATACACCAGGAGCTATCAGAATTGTGTGACCGTACTGATCATTTGGAAAAGAAAGCTGATGAACTTTGTATAGCCCATAATGAAATGGCTGATAAATTTATTAAGATAGATGAAGAAAATATTAAACTGTGGCATAAGATTGCTGATTTGGAAGATAGGTCACGCAGGAACAATGCACGATTCAGAGGTGTGCCTGAATCAATAACAGCAGAGAAAATTGTGGAATATATCACAACCTGTTGTGCCACCCTGGAGAAGGGTGTATGGGAGATAGAAAGAGCTCACGGATTGCCAAGACACACATGGTTAATGGCAGATATACCACGTGATGTGTGTATGTTTCTATCGTTACACTTCAAAGGAAGCACTATTTGCAGCAATCCGCAAGACACCGATACTACCTTCCCCCTACGAGGCGATTTCTGTTTACACAGATTTATCTGCTCTTACCATGGCAAGACGTAAGGAATTCTCTATGATCATTAAAGCTCTGCGTAACAATAAAATGCCATATCGATGGGGGTTCCCAACCAAAATACTAATATGGCGGAATAGTAAGCTGATAGTTTTGGCTGGTCCAGTTACTGGTCTTGCTACCTTCAAAGATTGGGGACTTGAGAATATCGAGGAAACTACATCTATGCAAGTTGCTGTCCCTCAAAGATTTTGGCTACAATGGAAGATGGCAGGAAAACCTTCAGCACATTGAATTTACTATGGAATTTACTAGGGGGTAATAAACACCTTCAACATAATTGGGACCCTTTTTTTTTAATGATTTTTCCTTTTTTTTCAAGTATGGGGTATGGCCCTTTAAATTCCAGGACTAGCAATAACAAGTTCGTGATAAAGCAACTATGAAGTTACGATGCCGCAGATCGGAAAAGCCAACGGATAAGATGACCATTTCGCAAGTATTTTAAGAATACACTGTATTCTAAAAGAATATCCTGTGCAATTTAGTTCGTTTTAGCAAATACTGTTGATGGACGCACACTTAGCATGACTTAATTAAATCAATTTAATTTAGTAATAGAGTCAAGTGGAAGCAATTAGGACCTTGGGAATTGGTTATGGTTGACTAAGGTTCTAGGTATAGGGGGGATAATGAAGTTTCTCCCTGAGTCTGCCTGACTGAGTTACGAGACCTATTTAAAACCATTATGGGGTAGCATGAGTGCAACCCAATGTTGTATAAATGCCTGAAGTACACCAAATGGACTCAGGGAATCATTGGCAGGATAAACAGGGGACAAAGGCGGTGGTGGGGGGGAGGGGGAAGGCACATGAAAGAAGGGGTTATATGACTGTGGATACATATTTAAAAGTAAACCTGTACGTCAGTATGAGAAATATTTTACACTTGTTTAAGTTACTACGTTTTCCTATAAGGACCATAGCTACTTATGTTATATCAGTGGTCTGTCTTGAATAGAGCATATATGGGCAACTGAGGTATTTAATCATGGTTACACTTTCAAAAGCAATGCTGCATGTTAGCATAAGAACTATATTAGATATACTTGTGTTAGTGTGTTGCCCCAGAAGGACCATAACCACTTATGTTATTTATGCCATATTGGCTGTTTGGTCTGAATAGAGCATACATGGGCTATAGAGATAAAAAGGAGGAATGTGGTAAATTAAATCATTACAGCATATCGAGAAATATATATTTTTATATGTACAACACTAAGAGCCTCTTAAAAGGAAGGGGAAAATAATCAAGAAAATAAAAAAAAAATTAAAAAGGAAGAGGGGAAAAAAAATGTAAAATGTAAAAATGTTCTGCTTAAATGCCCCCAATTAGATATTACACTGGGTGCCAAACTCCCTTTGACAATTTAACTCTGTCCTATCATTTTCAACTTAGAATTAAATAGGCTCTGGCAGTGCTTTATCATAAGGAACTGGTTTTGACTATGGGGGTGGTTCGCCTCACACGATCCCCAGTGGGATGTAAACTGGAACAGGCGCCTATGCGCTATCCAGTACATCCCCAGGTATACTCTCTTGCATGAGAGTTTTTGTATATACTTATTTCAATTTGTTTAAGTGGTTTATGTTTTTATTTATGTGTTGTACCCAAATGTTTCCCAACTCAAACTCCAGGAGACAGCCTAGTCCAATGCCTTTTAAAGAGCAATCACTATAATACATATGAGTGTAATACCAAATATAGCAATGATTTAATAAGAGTCATTGTTAAGACACTAACCGCCAGGTAGATGAAGCCGCCGTTTAGTAAATAATCCCCTTCTCCAGAAATGCAGTTTATATCCAGCCGACCGCCAAACTCCCGAACGAAGTCCACGAACACGGCAACTCCCGATCAGCAAAACAGTCGAACGCCTTCCACAGCTAAAAATAACGAAAGCGCTGTCCCAGTAATAATTCCCCCACAAACGAGACTAAGCTCCGTCTTGAGGGTCAAATAAAGATCTGTTTAATGGGGGCTACCTGCCCGGTATTTATGCAGGTCTCCACAAGGTGGACACTCCCCGAGGGGACCTTGTGGAAGACTGTAAAATATATTAGACAGTAGCCAATCGCAGTGGCTTCAATATAAGCCCTTCCCATCTTACCCATAAATCCGTCTTCTCTACCCCGGAGATAATTAGGAAGAAACCCAATTATCTCCCAGGGTAGAGACAATCGCCATTTTAAATTACAGTAGTAAAAATACATTAAAATACATAACTGAAGAAATACCGAATGAATATAGTTCGTGTAACGTATCCCCAGACAGCCTGGATCTGAGTGCATATTTTCACCGAATAGCGCTCAGATCCGATGTATTTAGTCGAATCGCCATGGAGTCAAAGTCTTTCAGCAGTCCTTCGGTATACGAATGACTCCATGGGACGGCTGTCTGGGTAAATACGAATGCATAAAAACTCCCGAACGACCGACGTTCGCATGCCTTGTCGAAATAGAAGGTGGGCATCAGCTTCCAGCGGTGTTCGGTAGTTTAAGTGTCCGTTTTTAGTTCCATACAGTTTGTACCGAACACCGCTATGCGTTCGTGTGTCCCAAAATGGCCGCTGCCTCGTGGTCGACATGCGAACGACGACCACCCGTACGAATGGAATGGAGAGGTGTCTGCGGTTAACCACAACGTTCTAATTGGGGCCAAGAGGTTAACCAGCAGCACACTCCTCTCCTGGGTGGTCGTTCGTTCAGTAGTTTCAATCGGTAGTTTGCAAATTACACGAACGGGGGTATACGAACAGGAAATCCAGCGAAAAAAAGGGAAACAGACGAACCAGCAATACAGATGAATCTGTCACAGTCATCAATTTATATGTCTTTCATTAAATGTAAATGGCCTAAATAGCCCAATAAAAAGACGATTAGTTGGGGGGCGGAGCCTAACTGCAAGACATGCGGACGCACGACCATGTAGCTCCGGGGAAAAAGCAGAGAAAATAACTCTAACTATCGCCTACAGCACCCCCACAGACAACTGTTAAAGTGTGGGAATACCCCCTAGCCAAATGGGGTGGAAAAACAAAAAATCAACGGCGGACAAACCTGCTCCAGGGCTTACGATTGGAGCAATGTGGCGGCAAGCACGCAGCACATGCGACACCAACATGGCGGCTCTCCACGGAGGCTGCTCTGACTTTTCAGATGGCAGCTCTGATGAAACCGGGGATGATTACCTCCCAGCCTCAGTCCCCCAGCAGAGAGTGAACCTCGGTAAACCGGGAGCGGACCCAGACGCCAGCTTGGTCACCACCAGGGTGTTGAAAACACTACTGGCGGATTTACAAAAAAATATCCTTACGGATGTCACCGCTCTGAGGGGAGAGCTAAAGGGCCTGACAGGCCGCATAACAGCATTGGAAGACTTCTCCACAGGACACCAGCAAATTATTTCCTCACTACAAACAGCAGTGCAAGACTCACAACACCAAAACCTGCTATATGAATGCCGCTTCGCGGCCCAAGAAGACAGCAGACGAAGACACAATCTGAAATTCAGGGGTATTCCGGAGGAGATGCCGGAGGCTAAGCTGCCGCAGACATTCAAACGTATGTTAACATATATTCTGCCCCCGGCCAGGCTAAACACATCACACCCACAGACCTTTTCCCGGTCCCCAAACCCTCCAGAGCCCCTGCCACAGCCACAAGGGATACAATAATTACCTTCAGGCAGAAGGGACAAATTAACAATCCTCAATGCCCTCCGGGGAAAGACCCCCCTGCAGTTTGAAAACATGCAACTGACCTTTTACGCTGCCCTGTCCAGCGGAACTCTGGCATGGCATAGGTCACTCCGGCCTCTCACCTCCCTGCTCCAATGACAGACCATACCCTATCGGTGGCGGCCCTCCCAGTCGCTCCTCATACAGCACGAAGGGCAAGCATATCTGTAACGGATCACCTGGCACCCGACTGGGTACCTCCGTTGAAGGATGCTCCTAGCGCTTCCTGAGGACTCCAAGCACTGCAGCAGACACCACAACCACCGAACCGGAGAAGCATACAAATGCACTCAAGCATATGAATGCTGTAAACAGCTGAACAGGAAAAGCATACAATCAGCTTACACTCCTGGCAATCAGCATACAGTCCAATTCCCCCAATAACGAGACAACACATCGTTTTGAGGTCAAGCAGAACTGCCTGTACTGGCACATACAGCCTCTTTTATTCACAATCCACAAACATAGTACTTCCCACAGGGTTTTGAAATACAACCAATCAATCCGTACAATACACACAGACACTCCCACACAAAATCCTCCCCTCTGCCTGTGATATGATTACTGAACACAATGGTTAATATAATTATCACAGGCAGAGAAATACAGTATTATAAAACATATCACAGGGATCCCAAAACATGCAATAACCCCATAAAAATATATCCTCGGAACAGGGGGATCTGGGTGAACCAGATATCCAAAATTCACCCAGATCCATTCAGTAGTTTGGAAGATACCGTTTAATGCAGATTCCGCAGAACATATACAAGCTATATGAAAAATAATTATTGTTAAATGTGTCCCCTGTTCTGTAGTTTAAAACTACTGAACGATGTCTTTGTGCACCAAATACCGGCAAGATGGCACCGTGTAGAAAAGTCCAAACAGTGTCTGTGAGTTAAAATGGCCGCCATCCATTGTTCTCACCATGTGCCTCTGATACAGGAAATGGTGGCCACCCAGTAACTCCACAGTTTATCTGGTAGTCTATCCATCCGGACCAACAGATGAAACACATGGGGAACAGTGCAACAAAAGAAGGCAATCATAAAAAATATGGACAATAGTCATATTTGTGCACAATCTCCAGTTTTGTCATAAGGCACAAATAGTGTTTTCGAATGCCATATATCCCAGGGCCATAGTCAGAAGGTAGGAGGCGGGCAAGCATCCCCCTCCAAGAACACGTGTCGAGGTCTGTACCGCCACAATATCGTTCAACATTTATTTCAATTTTATTTTTTTTAA